CACATTTCCCTGACCCAGTATCCACCAGGTGTGTCAGACTACAATTCCCATCACCCCAGCAGTGTGGACGATGTTCAGGGCTGATAGGAGTCTTAGTCCAATGCATCCGGAGGGCATGGGGTTGGCAGAAGGTCAGTGTACAACAGAGGGAACACAATTCAAGGAACAGGCTGACACCGTTTCTGAGAACCAGTACAATAAATCACCCTGACAGTCGGATTAATTTGAGGAGTCTCTTCTCAGTGTTTGGGCTGCCACGATAAATAAGAGTGACCTGGTTTGTAAAAATATTGTCAGTGCTTCCAGGAGGCCTTCAGCCTTCTTCTGGAGTCAAGCTACACATTATGTTACACGTGTTTTTTTGGCTTGCTTAAAACTGACTACTGCCTGTCTTCAGGAATAGCAGTGAGACAAGGGGAAGGGGAGACAGCCCTAATCGGGGCGGCAGCGTTGGAGAGGGACGTTAACCCTTCCTCTCTGAACGGGTTCCTTTCAGGAGAGCAGCCTTCCAAGCAGCTCACCTCCAAAGATGCTCTTGTATTGTAAACCGCAGTGTCTTGTGTTGAAAGGTCTCCTTTTGTATCAACCTTAATGTACAACTACATAAATAAATTCAGTATGAGGCTTAATTAATGTTGTTCTGAATTAAGGCAACTCTATGCATGAAAGCCCTCGAGAGTGTCCTGCCCTTGTCCTGCTCTTGTAAATTCGAGACTGCGGCTTCCTTTATGGACTCGATCCTTAGCAGAGTTGGCCTTCCTCTGCCTTCAACCTTCCCTGGTGTGATTGTCTTCTCCAGAGAGTCTTGCCTTCTCAGGTTGTGCCTGAAGTACGACTGCCACAGCGTCATCACTTTGGCCTCCAGGGAAAGTTCTGGCTTGATATGATCTGGGGCACACTTGTTAGTCTTTCAACAGAGCAAGAAATAATGCACAAAACCTACTTCACTTCCACAAGATGCTGTGATGCCTGCCCACTGGAATCATTCTCAGAATGGATTGGACAAATGCATGGAGGAGAAGGCCTCCGATGGCGACTAATCCTGATGGCAGTATGCCTACATATACCCATTACTGAGGATCATGGGTGGGGAGGTCTAAGTCCTGTTTGTGGATCTGTCCGGTTGAGCCCCTGTGTGAGCCAAATGCCGGACTGGGTGCAGCCTTGGTCTGACCGAACACAGCCCTTCTTCAGCCCTTATGTTCTTATCCAGAACTGTCAGTGGTTAGTACCTCTAACGGACTGTGGGTGTCATTACTTGTGGAGCCCAAACTGTGCCAACTACACACGAGAGGAGTTTCAAAAGGCCCAGAGGAACCCCCAAGTTTTACAGAATAATTTAGTGTGGTGGGGAAGTGAGAAACCCTAATGAGGGGCTGGTGTTCCAGAAGCAATTGAACACGGACCGGACGTGCTAAGGGGCCTTTATTTTGTGGCATGTTCCACCAAGCTCTCAGGATCCTTGCTGAACAGGTTCTGGAGCTCCCTTGCCAGGTGTCTTCCCCCCATGCCACACTGGTTTTGTACTCTGGGGAACCTAGGGGTTTCCCATAGGGGAACGGATGCCTGCCAGCGAGATCTGTCGTCTCCACCGCACCAATGCAGACATGGAATGAACCCTTGTAAGTTGTGCTAGTTAAAAGAAGTCATCCAACTCGTCTCCCTAATCCTAATATTACACTCTTAGCATTTCTGTTTCAGCTGCTGCTTCTGTAGGAGGTTTTCTTCATTTGGATTTCTGGCATCGTACTAGTTTGCAAGGTGGCTCTCTCACCCCCTCCCCGGGCCCAGATTTGTTTCCTTGCTTGTTGCCTTCCTTTCTATACCACTTTTGTGCCAAGGTGCTCGAGGGGTTTCTCACTTTAAAATATTAATGGGAGGGAAACAAGGAAGATACACATATTTAGGTCCCAACACTTCTACACTGTTCACAGCACGGCTGCCAATGAATTCTCCCCCCCCACCCCACCCCGGCCAGGAAAGCATCGCCAAAAAAACAGCCGCAAGAGGGCAATGGTTTGCATGAAACTGGCTTTAGGTTATTTATACACAGAGGTACTCATTTACAAATAGTATATTTAAATCGAAACGAAGCCCATCTCAGTGTCCTGTGGGAGCCTGCGGCCAGGTGGCAAGGGCCTGTCTGCTCGAGTCGGCACTGACTGTGGATGAGCAACATTCTGATGGTTCTTTATCTTCAGGACAACCCTTCAAGCAGAGGACTGCCCTATGTTGAAGTGTTCACACAGCAACCCATAATGATATTTAGTGGACCCTTCCAGCCTGAGTTCTTGGTCTCCTCTGCATTGATGGAGGGGCCTTCCTCTCCTCCTGGGGCATCCGGGTGGCCTGTTGGGCGTGATGTGGTTTGCATGTGAAGGAGAGGTCCTTTTGGGCTCTTTCAGATGCTATGCATTCCACTTTCTCTGCACAGGAGCTGAATCCCATTTCAGAAAGGCTCCCTGGGGCTACTTTCCCCTGCTGGGTGGGCCAAAGGCAAAAAGGAGGGGCCAAAAGTCAGAGCCTGTTTCAGCTTACAGCTCTTACTGCCCATAGTTAAGCCTTGGACATTTCAGCCTTTGAGAATAAAATAAAAGCTGCAGGAAAGCTGGAAAACCACCGGGCAACCAATATTTGGGAGCAGTAGGGTGAGGTGTGGAGCCATCTGGGGGACCTGGTGATTCTGAGCCCCTGGCTTTCGAATCTGTGAAAAGCTCTCCAGCACGGGTGCGGGTGCGGGTGCTTTTTGGGAGTCCTTATAACATGCGAGGCATTTCAGTACAGTGTACCAGGGATGGCAGCAAGAGGGGGAGAATGGCGAGGCGCTTCATGCATGATCAAGAAAATGCATTTCCTGGCAGGGAGATTAATCTCACTATCAAAAAATTTGCATGTAGAGTGGCTCTTAATTGCAGTTCAGTCCAGTTATTTCCTGACCTGGGGAACTTGCTGGGGCACAGTAGAGAACCCCAGCCAATGGAATGGTGACCCACGGATCTGACCCTTGTGTGCCTTTGGGGCTCTCTTGTTTTCTTCAGGGAAAAAAATGTGACCCCGTCCCTTCTAGATCCAGACTTCCCACTGCTGCCAAGTGCTATTGAGGCTTTTTTCTTCCATTTTCCCCCTAATTGAACATTATTCATTCTTAATGGCTTTGGAAAACTGATTTGAATGACTGACTAAACTGACTAAAATTAGCAAATCAAGGACAGAATGATACAGTGTTGAGATGTGGCCCATTGCAGTGTTCATTCTGCAGTAATATTTTAATTAAACTTTTCCGTCAGACTACATTAATAAACCTTCCCATGCTGGTGTCTGTGCATGTATCAGTGAAAAGATGCCCAGCTGAGGGACAAGGTTGTAACAGCTGGGTCTGTTCAGTTTAGGAAGAAAAAGGCAAGCAGGGAGACAGAATGGGTATCTGAAATTATGCATGGTGTGGAAAAAGTGGAAAGAGGACTAGAATCGGGGCGTTGCGTAGATATTCAGGACAGATCGAAAAGGGAGACTTCTTCACAAAGTATAGAGTACTTGATTTGCTATTGCATTGTCTAGGGATGGGCAGTAGATTGACTGTATTGTCAAAGGGGATTTGACTTACTCCTGGAGCAGAAGGCCATTAATGGCTCTCCTCCCGATGGCCATGCACTTACTATTATGGCTGCATTGCATTTATTCCCTCCATTTCCCTTTTGTGAGGAGCCCAGAACAGCTTACACGGCTTCGTTTGATCCTTTCAATGACAGCAGCCCTGTGAGGTGGGTTAGACTGAGAGCGACTGGCCCAGAGTCGCCCAGTCAGCCCCCACCCTGTCCCATCTCCACCATCAGGGAGGGTAGATTTAAAAACGTGCTTGCCATTGACAGCCTGGCCAGTTTGTTTGTGCACCTGTGTCCATAGTTTGACCTCCAAGGGCTCAAAAACGTTCTAATGCTTTGAACCTCTTCCAGCCTAGGAGAAGAGCAGAACTCTGCGGACACTTCCTTGGTGGTGGACCTAAAAGAAAGGGATGGTCCAAAGGCAAGGAGGCTGTGATATTTTAGCTTGATGTGCTTCCTGCTAGGCATTAAAACTTAGGAGAGGAATATCAAGCTTCTGAAATGGAGGAAAGCCGTGTGTAAATGCAGGGAAAGCATTGAATGGGGATGGGAGGAAATCTGGAACTTTCCGGTGATGCGAAGAGGGCATGACTATCTGGGGATTGCTAAAGAGCTGGGCTTGGCCCCTGGCCTGAAGTTGTTCCACTGCATGCCTGAGCTTCTGTGGGATGATGGCCCCATGGTTCATTATTTGCACCTGGACCCTCCACATCTGCAGGGATAGCTCTCGACTTCAGTTCTTCCTCCAAATATCGAAGGAGCTATCCTTGGCGCCAAACTCCTCCTGGAGGGTGCCAGGGTGGGAAAGTCCGTGCCATGTTACAAGATGCAACAAGGTGAGTGCTGACTGCCTTGGCAAAACAGACGCAGTTATGGCAAGGGTCCAGAGGAGGGCAGCAAAAATGAGGCAGGGTTTGGAAGCACTGCCCTATGAGGAGAGACTGAGAGAACCGGGCATGTTCAGCCTTGAGAAGAGAAGGCCGAGGGGGGACATGGTATCCCTGTAGAAGTACCTCAAAGGCTGTCACAAAGAGGAAGGTCAAGATCTCTTCTTGCTGATGCCAGAGTGTAGGACACGAAATGATCCATTCAAGTTGCGACAACTCAGATTCAGGCTAGATATCAGGAAAAGTTTCCTCGCTGTCAGAGCAATATGACAGTGGAACTAGTTGCCCAGAGCGGTCATGGGCTCCCCCACACTAGAGACATTCAAGGTGAAACTGGACAGCCCTCTGAGTGGGACGGTGCAAATTGGTGTCCTTCAATAGCAGGGGGTCGGACCCAATGGCCTTCATGGCCCCGTCCAACTTTGCTACTTTATGATTCTAAGTGCGCTTGCCTTTCTTTATCTCACGAAGCCATTCACACTTTCCCACCCCCTCTAATAATTTATTTCAGATGCAGAGCAAGAATGGAAAGCTCCCTTCTACTTCATTCAAGGGGCAGATCCTCAGTTTGGTTTGATGAAAGCGTATGCCATTGGGGACTGCAGCAGTGGAGGTGACGAATGGGGAGAAGAACTCAGGTTAACCCAGCAAGCCGTGCGAGCAATCAACCAGCTGAACCCCAGACCAAAATTCCTTGTCCTCTGTGGGGATCTCATCCATGGTATGCCAGGTAAGATGGATCAAGTTCTAGCCGGATCAACCCGTTCCTTCTGAGTGGGTTCCAGTGTGACAATGAATAGCAAACAGGCTGTGATGTGAAGACATCTTCCCAATGCAGCTTCATTAGCTAGCCCTGTTAATACAGTCAGAATCCCAACATTCCTAGGCAACAAAAGGTTAAGCTACTCTCCCTTGCGGTTGCAGCAATGCATTTGAAAATGCCATAATCCAAGACTGGAAGCAAGGCTCAAGAGAAGCTTTGACTTCGTATTGTGACAGTGCAGCTTTCTAATACACGAGGGTTTGGGCTTTTCTGTGCAGAGGATACACAGGGTTTTGTCCTTACAGGAAAACAGTGTTATTGCAGGTTAGCATCTGCCGGATCTGTTAAAACAAACAGCAACCCCCAAAAGCAACGCAATCAGTAGTGTGGGAGTAAGCTAAGTAGGGGTGTGCTGTTGGAGGGAAACCTGACTTACATGATCAGAGCCTTCTTCCTGCTCACTTGCACGCTAATGATCAAGGGTTGGGGGGTGGCCATTCCATGGACTGAAGATGCGAAGACTGAATCCAGGTGTCTTGTGCTCGCTCGACTTCTTTCCCTCATCTGGACCTGGCTAGGAAACGAGCTGAGCAGAGCTGAGCTCAAGTCTGTGAACACTTGGGTATGCTAGCAGCTTCCTTGCAAGAGTAGGCAGTCCTTTGCACAAAATACGCACAGCACGTAATTCTTTGCACAAAGTAGGCAACACCTGCAAGTTGTGTACAGAACGCTGCTTGCTCTCATGTCCTGCAGAACATCCATGTGAATGCTTGGCACGAGGCAGGCACAGGGAAGAGAGAAAGCGGGTTGCAGTCCGGGGAGCCAAGTGGAGGAAATCTGCTAGACCCCCACCCCCAAACCTGTTGTGTTGCAAGCAGGATCTCCTTGTAAATCTTTTTGGGGTGGGGGGCACATCATGAAGTGGTGGGAAGAGTTTTCCATTAGTTTTCCAACTAATGCACGTAACAGAAATCTAGAGTGTTGCCTTGCTGTTGCATTTCAAAGGGCTTCCATCTCCCCTTCGTTCCCCCCCACCCCCCACCCCCAGTTTGCAAAGCGTTACCAAATATGCATTTGAGTCGTGCAACTTATAAAACATTTAAAGGGAACATATTGAACAGCCCGAGTTGCTGGGCGGTGTGTTTGCTCTGCACTGTATAAACATTGACAGCAGCCTAGCGCTGCTTCCAAGGAACAGCAAGGGAGCTGAGAGCAGTGCGTGCTTTTGAGAGATCTCCCACACCCACCTCTTAACTGTCTCTCTGCTGCCGAGACAGCTTGGGGTGGAAGTTTTGCGCACACCGATCATGTCATTAAGGCATAGGTCTGTCTTTCAAAAGCATTCCTGCTGAATTGTCCCAGGTGTGACGACCAGGGTTGGGGCGAAAGCTAGCAGAGTCCGTCCCTCCAGCATCCGTGCACTTCCTCCCCTGCTTGGCCTGCGCTCAGCAAGTTTGCTAAGTCAAGAGGAAGTCTAAGAAGTCTCACGGAGCAAATGTGGTGCAACCAGCAACCTCCTTCCACATTGCCTGCAGCAGCACGAAGCCTACCGCAGACTGCGTGGAAGAGGGGCAGGGCTTGCGCAGCTGTTGCATGGGGTCATTATAATAATTATAGATACAGGCTGATATTTTTGCCCCTTTCCCTTTTGCCTTCTCCTTGTCCATTGCTGGAATCTGGCCCCCGGGGAACTTCTCCGAAAGGAGCTCAGCCTTTGAGCTGAAGGAAGTTCAGCACCCCGTACGAGATTAACAGCAAGATTGGCGGGGGGGCTGGGGGTTACAATGGGGACAAGGAGGAACTAAACCATGTTCCCCAAGCACATGGCAACAGCTGCAGCATCTGCCCATGGAAACGTCAGAGTAAAAAAGTACCACAGTTCCGATCTTGCATGTGGCTTGACCCTCAGCAGAACACTCCACCAATGGGATCTTGTATCTCAAGTGGTGGATCGCCTTAAAAATGTGGGTCTTAAGGTAACCCCCCATGTCTAGGTGCATCACACAGTCAGAAAATGTTTGCTTGCCAGTGCCCACGTTACAATTTCTAGTGTAGGCTGGTCGGATATTTGAGCTTATCCCTCTTTTTATTATGTAGTAGTATTTTAAACAACTTTCTTTGCTCAAGGGCTTCTGAAATTAGAATGAAGCAATGATGGGATGCCAAAATAATTCAGCTCTGATTGCATTGAAGAAAATGACCTGATTAAGGAAATTGTCACAGGAAAACAGGAGTTAATCTGAGGTTGTTCTAGGGATCTGAATAAATTTATCTCCTATTTATTGATATAATCATGCAAGTAACCAAGTGATTTTTAAGGGGGTAATTCTAAAGGAGAACTTGCCCTGAAGAATCAATTTTACCAAGGCAGGCATTCATGATCCGGAGCTACCAAGTTTATGGCTTTGCCTCCGCACTCATTTTTACTGGTCCTCTTGAATTCTATGGATATTCTGTTACAGCATTTATGTGGTGATAAATTGAAGTGATTGCAGGAGTAATGCCTAAGGTTTATAAAACACTTGGTGAATTTAGTATTTTTAAACATTCTGTAGTCGCTAGAGCGAATGGCCAATGTTTTGGGACTGCTGCAACTTGAATTTTGTGGACTAATCGATATTAGATCAGTTCTCCATGCTGCCCAGGAGCTTCAGGTGGGCAACAGCAAGACCCCAGAGCAATTCCTTTTCACAAGTCTTCACCTTTAAACCAGACTTGCACTGTCCAGTCTTTCAAAAAGAGCAGGGGTGGACAACTTGTGGTCCTCAGGATGTTTTGGCCTACAACTCCCATCAGTCCAATCCAGCATAGCCAGTGATGAAACATCATGGGAGTTGTAGGTCAAAGCATCTGGCTGCAATTTACCTACTCCCAAAATGGAGGATGCCTTCAAAATAGAGGATGGTCTTCCAACAGTCCTTCAAGTAGAGGACTGTCATCTGTATAAGAGGACACTGGGTGCCTTGTCTAGAGCTGTGGCAGAAAGGATGAGATGCCAGCAAGGGCTTGGCAGGCCAAGGTCACACCCCGTATGGCAGGAATGTCGGGTCTTCAGAGAACTGCCAGGTGCATAGTTGTTGTTGGTTCTTGCTTTGGACTGACCATGGATGCGCCAGGGATGTGGTTTGCCTACCTTTAGGTTCCAAATGGCACATCCATCCCAGCTGGTCATTCAGGAATGATGTAGCAAGAAGTAATCCTTTCCCCTGGACCGCAAAGCACTGTCATGGGTCAAGCTGCTCCCAAAGTCCAGTGTTTTGAAGGCAGCAAAGTCTTGGGATTCTAAGAACCCAGGGTAGTAAATAACATCTTGATCAGCTAAACTTGGATGCAATCAAGCCAAATGCTTGGAGCCCATTACACGCCATTAGAAGAGCTATGTAATCAGCAACAAACGGCTTCTGTTATGTAGATGGTGATTAACAGTGGTTTGTACTTGACTTATTATTATTAGGACAAGACGTTTTCTTCTTGATTGGAAGGCCATGTATAGTGATATCAAGAAGTTAACTTGCTATTGCAGAACGTAATCAAGCACTTCATGCATGCTTCTGGTGGAGCGTTACCATATCTACTGGGGCTGGTGAGTTCCCCTCTCCCAGCAAATTATCATATTCCTGTCAGATGCTTGGCTGCGTCAAATGGATGTGACAGTGGCAGAAGATGGTATGGCTGTGTGAGGCTGCCGCCGAAATGCACCTGCGACTTTTATGGATGCCTATGCAACTTCTCCCTACCTCCCACCCCTGGATCGAGCTTTTCGGAGAGCTCAGTGTTGGGTCGGACAGTTTCTGTTTCAGTCACAGAGCAGCAGAATACTGTGTCTGGACACCACACTTCAAGAACGATTCAGAATAAGTTAGAATGAGTTCAGAGAAGGGCAATGGAGATGAGAAACTGCACGCTATGAGGAAAGGTCGAAGGACCTTGAGAAGATCCATATGGTAGCCCTTTGCAGGCACTAAGGAGCTGGAGACAGAAGAAGGCTCCTCTGTTCTCTTTCAGCCAAGGTTGTAGGACACAAAACAATGGGCTTAAATCATAGGAAGGGAGGTTTAGTTGGACATCAGGGAAGACTGCCAATCAGAGCACACGGACAGTGGAACCAAGTGCCTAAGGAGATAGTGAGCTCCGTCACTAGCGGTATTTGAGCGGAGACCAGGCAGCCATTTCAGGGGGGCTTCAACCTGGATCCCTGCACTACGCAGAGGGCTGGGCTTGCTGTGCTAAACGCTCCCTTCTAACTCCATGGTTCTGCAGTGTCTCCCCTCATTGGAAGGTGATGTGCAGCACTGACTGATGAGTCTGTTGAGGGCAGAAGGACAAGGAGCCAATACTCAAAGTAAATCAGCTTCTCTTTGGAGAGGCTGCTATCAGACAGACGCCTTGGAGCAAATACTTCATGTGCTTCATGCAATGCAGACGCTTCTCTCAACTGGCAGATTTCAGTATAAGCTACAAGTGTGCTCTGCTGACCTCCTTCAAGCTCCATTTATTGCCCGGTGAATGATGCCGTAGCTGCTAATGGCTAAACGGACTGCTGTTGCCAGCAGTGTGCGCAATTGGAGCCGACCCGATCGGCTGCGGATGTGGCCAGGGAGGAATGTGGGCGAGGCACTGTGTCTGGAGCAGCTGTCTCGAACTCACGCAAAGGCACCTTAGTCGTCGTTCAAGCCACGAAGGTGGCGCATCATCGCTGCTTTGCCCTCGCTGCGCCGGAGAGGTGGAGCATGTTCTTTAGTCTCCGGCTCATGAATGTTGAAGGCTGTGCCCATGATGGGCTGCCCTTTGCTTTGCAGTAACTTTCCAGATAGAAGGGAAAATTCATTCACACAACCACTGGGCGTTCTTTAAGGTGCAGTCCTACACAAGTTTAGAAAGGAAAAGGACCAGGGTGTCCTGGGACTTGTAGCCCCCTCTTGCTGCCTGATAGGCATGGGATTGTGTCTTAGAAGCTTATAAGTCCA